CAGGGACCAGCTTTGTGTGGAACCAGCCAGGAACAGCAGCACTGGTGGCAATGAAGGAGTTCCCCCTCCCTGCCCAGCCCCGTCACATGCTCCCCAGCAGCCAGGAAGAAGATGCAGGGATGGAGAACCTGCCCACAGCTGCCACTGTCCCTGGCCAAACCTGGCTCCCCATGCAGCTGCTTCCCACAGCCCTGGCTGGAGTGATGCAGAAATGGCCAGGACAGCAGCAGCGGTGAGTGGGTTTCCCTTTCCTGTGCCAAGAGGTACAATTAGAGAAGGGGAGGGGAGGAAATGTGAGGGGAGGAGAGGTGCTGTTGAGCATGGAGAGTAAAAGAAGGGGTGCCAAGAGTAGGGGACCTGCTTTCGGGACTTAAAGAAAATCTCCAGCTGCTGCTCCTGCTACATGATCTGCCTAATCCATTGTTGAAGGGGAGGCTGGGAGCAAGGGGTGCAGCCACCTCTGCAGCCACCCTGCAGCTCCTGCACCCAACTTTACAAAACTTGAATCCACCAACCCTCTCAGCCACTTACACAGCTCCAGCAAAGGGTGTCATTTATGGAGAGATGTTCCAAAGCTATCACTTATTTGAGGTATCACTTTCCTCCCCAGCACTCTGCTCAGGACATCCTTCAGCTCCTTGTTCCTCATGCTATAGATCAGAGGATTCAGCATGGGAGTCACAAAGGTGTAGACCACGGACACCACCCAGCCTTGCTGTGGGGAGTAGCTGGAACTGGGGTGCAGGTAGATGAAGCTACAGCAGCCGTACTGCAGGAGGACAACGGGCAGGGTGGAGAAGGCCCGGTGTCGGCCGGCTGAAGAGCGGATTTTCAGAATGGCATCCACAATGAAGATGTAAGAGATGCAGATGAGCAGGAAGGGAATGGCCAGGATTATGATACAGACTGCAAAAACTGCTGCCTGGTGGATCTTTGTGTCAGCACATGCCAGCTGCAGCACAGGCAATACATCACAGTAGAAGTGGTTGATATTGTTAGTATCACAGAAAAGCAGGTGGAACAGCAAAATAGTAAACTGCAGGGCCAGCAGGAACCCCAGCACCAGGGATGCAGCCACAAGGCGCACACAGACTGTCCAGCTCATGATGACAGTGTAGCGCAGCGGGTGGCTGATGGCTACATACTGATCAAACGCCATGACGGCCAGACGCATGCAGTCAGCCCCACCCAAGAAGATGAAGAAGAACATCTGGGTGCCACAGCCAGTGAGGGAGATGGTGGCCTTCCTCCCTGATAGGAGGTTGGCCAGGGCTAAGGGGGCAATGACAGAGGAGTAGCACATCTCCATTGCTGCTAGGTTGGCCAGGAAGAAGTACATGGGGGTGTGGAGGGAACGTTCGGTGCAGACAACGAGAGTGACAGCAGAATTTCCACACAGGCTGATCAGGTACATGAGCAGAAGGATCACAAAAATCAGCGGCTGCACCTCATGAACGTTTGAAAAGGGACAGAAGTGGAATTGTATTGGCATGGTCTGATTTTCACCTGCCATTGACCCAGCTCACAGAAAACCTGCTGAGAGACAAAAAAGGGAAGCAGTTACAGTTTTGGGCAATATCTATCTTACGCTGAGAGATACAAGGCATGGTTCTATTGCCACTAGGATGCCACATGTTTCATTCTCTTTGGGAAAACCATCATCCTGTCAGACAGACCCTCAACATCTTTTTGGATTTGTGTTACATTTATTTGCTGCATAGCAACTGAAGTGTGATGAGAAAACACAACAAGGAAGGCGTGAATAGGCTTGATCTATTCTGGATAATTTTAGTTTTTTTCCAATCATTTGCACATTTCAATTGATGACTCTATTGGGGCTTTTGAGTTTAAAAGTGTGAAGAGAGGGGATGGGTAAAGTGTTTCCTAGGTTGAAGCCTGTCATTTCAACCATTTATCGCTAAAAGGGAATGTGACAAATAAACCAAAGATTATGATCCACCAAACATGCAAGGAATAACATACTCATCAGCTAGTGTCACTTTACAAGGGGCTACTCATAGACCAATATGTACAGAAATGGGAAAAATGAGAGGAACGTGTGAAAGATACAGGTGACAAGTCTGTCTTAATGGTAGGAAGGTTAAATAGCTCACGGGAGACCACAGACAAATATTCACTCAATAGCAAAGGGCTTAATGCAGACAGATTCACCTATGAGTGTGTGGGTTCTCAGGAGTTACTGTAAACTGGTATTGCACACCCAGGTGTAATGGGTGTCGGGGTCAGGAACACTGTCAATGCTCTTTCCTTTGTAGAAGGGGAGTCACCTCCTTCCTAAGGGCTGCTGGGAACTGACAATGGTGCCCAGACTCTACCTGTAGCGCTTTAGGGTGATATAATTGGTTGAGATTTTAATGCCCACAGATTCTTAGACCAGAAGACACTTGCCTGACTTCACATTAACCTGTTCAGCTCAATAGAGCCTCCTTCCAACATCTGACTGCTTTTATGCTCCAACAGGAATTGACAGAGAGGCTTTTCATTTTGTCTGTTCTCATGGAACCTCAGCATCCAATTTGTGACAAAAGGAGCCAAAGTTTCTGCCGTAATGGACCCAAGACTGTGGCCCTTCCCTGCAGAGGAGCTGGCTGCAAGCACAGATCTCACCGCCTTCAGAATCAGTGCAAAGCCCGTAACCTACAACATCAGATACATTAGGCAAAGAAGGGAGGAGGAGGATGTGTGCATGTTCAGTGTGCATTACACATCTTTCCCAGCGCCTAACCCACAGAGGCTGGGAGTGTAGAACAAATCCTACCTGTAAAATAGTTCTTGAGAGAAGCATAGCAATACAGGAGCTTGAAGGAACCTCAAAACATCCATTTAGCCCATTCCCTTGATTTGAGACAGGATCAAGTATAGCAAATAATCCATGATTGATGCTTGACTTCACTTTTTTTAAAAACCTCCAGTGGAAGAAATTGCACCACCTTCATAAATAACTTATGGCCTTATAATTAGAGGAAGGGATTTTTGTGGAAATATCTGTTACTGGACCACACGGCATAGGTGGGAGAGATGTTAGGAAAGCTTTTAGGCACAAGGTACCCTACGGAAGGGTATCTGGTGCCCGAAAGCTAGACTAACATCTCTCCCACCTATGCAGTTGGTCCAATAACATATCACCCCAAAGATCCTTCCCTCTCACATATTTCCTGGATCATCACAGCTACATCACTCAACACTACCTTAGAATTTGAATATTTAATAAACAACTTACCCAAGTCTCCTCTGCTGCAAATGAAGCTGCTGGGTGCAGTTCTGACCGTGTCTGCTTTCTGTACAGCTTTGCTGTGCACAATGACAGCCTGCTGATGTGATCTTCTGGAAAATTCATTCAAACACAGCAAGTACTGTAGTCTCTTTCCCATGAAACTTGTCCAAGAAGTTTCTTTTTTCTTGAGGACAGTATGATGACAAATTGCCCAATTAAAATTTCCTTAATGACTGAGGGGTTTTGGATTAGCCCCTTAATGTGATATCCCCCTCCCCCACTTTTTTCCATAGTTTCTAGATTTACTATTTGATGGTTTAAATAATTTATTTTAAACCGATAATGAACCTTCCCAGCTCCTTTCTAGTGCTTGTTATCTGTGCATCTCAAAGTACTATGCCAAGGAGGACAATATCGCTATCCGTCGCTTACAGACGGTTAAACTGAGGCACAGAGTGGTGAACGGATTTGCAAAAGGGTACCCAGCAGATCAGTGGTGGGATGGAATCAGAACCCAGGTCTCTTACCTTCCAGCCTGGGACCAGCCTGTTATCCACATGAATATACTGATTAAAAGGAAAGATTGAGCACTGAAAGAGCAAGGGGCAAATTTGATTTTGTTCAATCTCTTTTTCGGTTGAGGTTGTCAGGGAAGCACCAAAGAAACTTCCTTTGCCCTAGAAATGTCTTAGTTGCTGAAGCATGTAGAAATAGAACATTCCTAAGCATCTCGTATTCTTTCGCTCATTCTTCTCTTTCTCCTCTTTTCTTGCCTGCCTTTTTATGTCCTTTCTCTCTCCATGTCTCCACATGAATTCATAAGTGCTAGCTAGCAGAAGCTGGGAAAATAGTTTATTTAGCTGCTCCCAGGCAGGATTGCTTGTTCCTAGTTTCCCCTGCACATAATCTGTATGGCCCTCAGCACTTCCCACTGGTACCTGGTCATAGAGCTGAGCTCATCTGCTTAAGACTCCACCACTCAACTTCTCTGCTGCCAGGCTGTGCGCTGCTCTTCCTCTAGCAGAGAAAGGACCGAAGGGGTTGTCTCAGGGCACAATTAACAAAGCAGGAGAGTGTAACGGCCACAGTGTAATGAGTGTAATGGCCCCACTGCTCTGTGACTATCACTGGTTTCTTCTTAATGTGCTGGTTGAATTGGTTTCTTTGTCCTCCCTGTGTGTCCTATGTCAGATCTATGCCATCCCCCAGAACCAAAAGGCATTTCTTGCTGAAGTCCCACGAAGCTGTTATTAGCATGGAAATGCACAAGAGAGATTCTGTTTGCATTTCTGACAATCACCAGCTGAAATCTGAGCATGCATCTGCACAGCATGGTGGACAGGGGCGCTTCCTCTCTGTGGGGGTCTCATTTCTGATCAGAGCCACCCGTGCCCCATTGCACCATAGCCCATGAGTGCTTCCACCTGCAACTTAAATCTACCCGCAGCCCCTCAAAACAATTCCTTTTGCCATGCTGTGGCACACCAGTGGCGTCACTCCCATTCTAACCAAGACCAGGAGACAACAAACACTCTCCCTACCTGCCATGCCTGCACCTGGAATATGTTACCAATTCACCCCTTGCCCTTTGTTCTTAAGTCTTTGCCTAAATGCTCACTTCTGCTATGTCCCCCGTACAAACCCTCTCACACAAAGAACACATCATGAAGACAAAAGCAAAGGTGAGCACTTGGCACAGCATTCTATATAAGCTCACCTCGAAATGGGGTCTGAACCCCTCAACCATCCAAAACACTGCTCTGGCCCTCAACCTCTCCTCTGCTGGGTATGCGTGTCCTGTGTGGGGGAGATCCACATATGCTGAGTGCCTTGACCCCACTCTGAACGATAGCTGCCAATACATCATTGGATGTCTGAAGCTTGCCAGCCTAAACAGTGCATCCTCTGGCTGGCATTGCTCTGCTCGACATCCAAAGAGCAGTGGCCAGCAGGATAGAACGATCAAGACAAACTCAAGATGTGAGACACCTGCTGTACAACCATCCCACACAGCACACAAACGTTTGCAGTCATGCAGGAATTTCCCCACCAGCATCCAAACTCTCGATGCCACACCCAAGGAGACATGACAATAGATGTGGAATGAGAGGCTGAAGAAAATACCTGACAGTAGAAAAATAGACATTCCAGCAGCTGAGTCCTTGCCACCAGGAACTGACGAACCATGGCAAAGATGGCAATGTCTCAACCGCCTACTTACCTGGGTCAGACACTCCAAGGAACTAATGAAGAAGTGGGGCTATACCATTGGTTCCACCACCTGTGACTGGCACAGAGCATCAGACTATGCAGCACCTGCTGCAATGCCCCTGTGTGAAGGCATGTGTATAATGAAAGACCTCGCAACGTACAACAAACGAGCACAAGCACGTGTAACAAAATGGTCAAATGTGGTGTAACTTGGAATAATATCCCTGCATGAAGCTGAGGAACGCTACTAACCCTGTGGTCAGACTGTACTGCCAACCCCAACTGTCTAGCATTCAGGAGCCCACCTTACCCAACATTCTGAGATTAGTTTAAAGTACTGCATATTGGATTTCCCCTATTAGCTTTTGGATATTTAACCTATTGGGCACAATGTTTTTATGCCTGTATCCCCATTGCCAAGGGCTGGAAATTTTATTTTTTGTAAAAGAGAGCTGAGATTCTGATGTGATTCATGACTCTAGGAGGTGAGGCTGTAGTAAAAATAAAGCAAGACTCTGAGACTTGCAATAAAAATATGAGGCTTGGCAATGTGGGTTGCTGACCGATGTGCAGGCTCCCACTCTCACTTTACAAGAAGCACCATGAGTTAGAGTTCCCCCCTCCGCCCCCGGGCCAACAGACAATCACCTATGGCTGGGGGACAGGGAGGATCAAGCCTGCCTGCTGTGTGGGACGGTTGTACAGCAGGTGTCTCATATCTTGAGTTTGTCTTGATCGTTCTATCCTGCTGGCCACTGCTCTTTGGATGTCGAGCAGAAGAATGCCAGCCAGCAGGTGCACTGTTTAGGCTGGCAAGCTTCAGACATCCGGTGATGTATTGGCAGCAATTGTTCACAGTGGGGTCAAGGCACTTAGCATATGTGGATCTCCCCCACACAGGACACGCATACCCAGCAGAGGAGAGGTTGAGGGCCAGAGCAGTGTTTTGGATGGTTGAGGGGTTCAGACCCCATTTCGAGGTGAGCTTATATAGAATGCTGTGCCAAGTGCTCACCTTTGCTTTTGTCTTCATGATGTGTTCTTTGTGTGAGAGGGTTTGTACGGGG